TCCTCCTCCATCCCCACTGGCCACTTGCCCCACCTGGTCCTGCTCCCTTCCCCAGTCCCACCCCCAGCTCCATCCCCTCTCCCCCTTTCTCTATACCCCACCCCATAACTGCCCATGACCCAAGTCCCACCCCTCCCTCCAGCCCCCGACTCAGCTCCATCCCTTCCATGAGGCCCCATATTACATAGCTCCACCCCTCAGCCTGGCTTCACCCCCTCAGGGCAGCCCCTCCCCTAGCCTCACCCTTACCTCTGCCCCTCCCAGAGGCCCTTATCCTCACCCCTCTCTGGACCCCCATAACTGTCCATGATGCCATCCCCTCCCCCCACCCAACACCACCCCTCTCGTAACCCCCTAAGTATCCCCCCACTCTATCTCCACCGCCCCTAGTGACTCTTCCCATCCATACCACTTGGCGTAGCTCTGCCAGCCGCGCAGCCTCTAGCTCGTCGTTGGGCTCCTGGGCTGCGTACAGCACCAGTGCCTGCCGCAGGGCCACTGCCACAAAGGCTGTGAGTGACACCACGGCCTGCGGCCCCCCAACACCACCCTGTGGGGGAAGGGGAGGTCAGTGCCTGTGGAGGTGTGGGCAGAGCTGTCCATACCCTCCTTGGAGCACATGATGCACCAAGGAGAGTGGGGGGGTGATGCCCAGATCATGAGACGTGCAAGGGGAGGTTGTGTGCATGGAGGACACAGAAGTAGGGAGAAGGACAAGGAGCAGGGTGTGCATGGGGCTCCATGTGCTGCAGGTATGCAAGACAGCCATAAGCATGAAAGGCCATGCAGCTGTAGTGAGCGCAAGGCATGCGAGGCAGCTATGCACATGTGAGGCACTGGAAGAGTGCAAGAGTCAGTGACTCAAGGGGCCAAGGGGGCATGAGGCACCTCCAAGTGTGCAAACATGCAAGAGCAAGCATGCACGGTGACCACGCATTCACAAGGGCAGGAGTGCCCAGGAGCCATAAGCATGAGAAGCAGCCATAAGTGTGCAAGGCACCCCCAAATGCAAGAGGGTGAGCAGGCAACATTGCTGCCAGTGGGTAGGGGAGAGGCCAGATCCTTGCAAGCTACTGTATATCCTCATATACCACACACCCCCAAAAGAACAGTGCACCTTGCTTTGGAAAGGCAGAAAGAAGTGTGGGGGGGAAAGATCCTTCATTGGAAATCTCAGCCAGGGCAGGATTTTTGCAGGGAAAACACCAGCAGCTGCCCATATATTTAGGGACAGCCAGTGAAACTCCAAACTAAAAATGCCCCTCCGTAAAGTCCACGCATCAGTTATGAGCTGCCTGTAAAAGCCAGCAAGGTTTCTCCTAGCTAGAAGCTGGACAGCCAGAGCTTTGCAGAGGCATAACCAGAGAAGAGCAGCCTGGCACAGCACCTCTCAGAAAGCCTCCTCTCAAGGTTTGGAAATCCCTCCCCACACTCCCCAGCCATTTGCTGCTGCTGCTTCCCTTCCTGTAACAACACGGAGTTGTGGGTAGGTCTTCTTGGGTCTCCCTGCTGGACTGAGGGAAATGGGACTGGCTCGAGGAGACAGTGTGGTATGAGGCAAGGAGGCAACTCCTGTGGTGGGAACCATGAGGACGGAAAACCCTTACTGCAGTCACACAGGGCTGCCAACCCAGATGATTATTTTTTTTACTGTCAGTAAAAAAGTTGGTCAGTAAAAAATTCTCTGTCAGATGTTTTGTACTGACAAACTTTTGGACTGTCAGTAAAAAAAATTCTATAAAAAAGTTTATCTGTGAAAAAATCAGAAAAAAATGCTAGTAGAGAATTCTGCTACAAAAGAAATGAAGAAGTTTGCCAGTAAAATCTGTCTGCAAATAAAGTTTATCACTAAAAAAATCTGCCAGTGACAAAACTGTCAGTAAAAAAGAGGCCAAAAATTATCAGTAAAGACACTGGCTGCTCTGTTAACCCCACAGCTGCAGGCCGCCATGAGTGCTGCCGCATGAGCCAAGCTGCCCAGCCCCAATTTCCAGAAGCCCATGTTTGGGGGGGGCGGGAAAGGAAGTTGTGGTAGGTGGGGAAATACAGTAGGCGAGCACGTAGAAGGGAGGAGGCAGGGGTGGGAAGTGGCAGAGAGGCCTCACCTGCATCTCACGGTGGATGATGGGATTGGGGTCATTGAAGGAACCGTCAGGCTGCTGGTGCCGCAGAAGCCAGCGCACGGAGCCACGCAGCCCGACCTCATCCACGGGCTGGTACTGCCGGCTCAGCGCCAGCACCCGCACCACAAATGCTGTCAGCCTAGTGGGGGAGAAGGGAACAGAGTGTTGGGAGGGTGGGGTTAGCCAGGGCCCCGGCCCTAGCCTTCCCACACCCCACCCTCCTTCCCCTTGTGGCCTCTGCCCGACATCCTTAGACCCCTGCTGTGTCCCCTCTGGCCCTGTGGGCTCCCCCCAACAAACCCAGGAAGCCAGGCTCCCAGCCCCTCTCTCCTCTAAACCACCAGACCCCGCTGCCCTCCCAGATCCCACCCAACTTCCCTGCCCTCCCAAAGAGAACCCAGGTATCCTATATCCCAGACCCCGCTGCTTCCCTATCTAACCAGATCCCACTCCCCTCCCAGAGCTGAGAGAAAACCCAGTTGTCCGGGCTCCCAACCCCCTCACCAGGTGCTGCTAGGCCGGGTCAACCAGGCCCCATAGGACCCATCCTCTTTCCGGAAGGTCAAGATCCGCTCGTAGCCTGGGAGGCAGAGAGGGTATGTCTGAGTAGAGCACAAACCCCACAATATAGTCCCCACCCCCACCTACCATAGCCCCTCATATCCTAGGAGTGCTGTGAGGCATAAACATGGGGTTTGTGTCAGTGGTTGTGCAAAGGCACACGTGTGCAAGTTAGATGCACGTGCAAGCCCCAGGCATGCATGTCCCGACCGCATGTGAGTGGAAGCCCCAGGCACACATATGCTAAGCTGCATGTGTGCGCAAGCCCCAGGCCTGCATGTACTAGTCATATGTGCGTGGAATCCCCAAGCCCATGTATGCAAGCCACATGTATGTGCAAGTGCCAGACTTGCATGTGCAAGCTGCACGTGGGGAAGCCCCAGACATATGTGCAAGCTGCCCATATGTGCAATCCACCCATATGTGCAAGCCTCAGGCACACATGTGCAATTAGTTAGTTGTGCATGCCACGTGGGCACACCTGTGCACACACGGTGTCCCTGGCAGTGGCAGCGGGGATACCTGGGCAGGCACATGAGTGTGCAAAGCCAATGTGCAAGAGATCCCACCCCAGGCAACACCCCCTGGCCCAC